CGGGGGGGGGGGGGGGACGCATTTGCTCACAGCCCGTGGCCCAAAACGCTTTTGTACACGTTTTTTTCCCCCACCTCCTCTGTTTTTTACGGTTCCTGAACCGAGTTCAGGAGAAGGGATTGACAGCTCTCCTGGTGGCTCCCGGCGTGTGAACGCACCATGGTTCCCAGGCCTGCAACGTCTGTTGTCGGGTCGCCGTGGAACTGTCGTGGAGGGAGGATGCTCTCCTTCAGGCAGGAGGAGCGACCAAGAGTTACCCAGAAATAGGTCAACACCTGTGGGTCTGACCGCTGAGCGGTCCCACTTAGAGGATGGGTCTCCCTCAGGAGATAGTGTGCACAATTCAAGATTCACGTGCTGCATCTACCACAGTTCTGTACACATCAAAGGGGACGGCTTTTCAGCGCTGGTGTACAGAGAAGGTTTAGAGGCCACCTCATGCCTTTTAGGCGGCGTGTTGTTTTTCTACAACAGCTGATGGATAGGGAGTTGGCTTTCAGTACGCTTTAACGTACGTTGCAGTCATCTATTCCTGCCACGAAGGTTTCGGAGACAGAACAGCTTTTAATCACCCGCTGATGAAGCGTTTTTCTAAAAGATGTTCAGAGACACAGGCCTGCTTCACGTCCACTTGCTCCACAGTGGGATTTAACGCTGGTCCTGCGAGCCCTGATCAAAGCTCCAATTGAGCCTCTGGATCAGGTTTTCACTTAAATTCTTGTCTCTTTAAACAGCCCTGCTGCTGGTTTTAACACCCGCTAAGAGGGTAAGTAATTATCTGCCCTCTCTGTTGCTTCGTCATGCCTTAGAATTTAGGCTGACGGGCAGCTCAGCTGATTTAAGACCAACTCAGCTTTTATGCCTAAAACATCACGAGCTCTTTTAAATCAAGAGTGATATCGTTGGAGGGGTCTTTCCCCCCCCCCACAGATCAGAAGAGGAAGCATCTTTTCATCTTCTCTGCCCGGTGCGGGCGTTGACGTGTTACATAACGCGCACAGCTGCAATGCGTTTCAAACTCAACAATTGTTTGTGCATTATAGAGATGCTTCTGCAGGTCGCCGTTATCCATCCAGCGCTTGTCACACTGGCTGTGTGAGGCCTTTTCTGAAGCCTACAGAGCATCAGATTTAGAGTCTCCTGTCAACCTCTAAGCACACTCGACCAGGGGTATCGCATCTTCGACTGCTCTGCATAATGGTATGTCAATGCAGGACATTTGCACTGCGGCTGCATGGTCAACACCCTGCTCATTTATTCGCTTTTACCTATGTGATGTAACGGCTCGTTCCATGACACATTCTGTCCTTAGTGCTCTAACAGAATGAATATTGTTGTTCTCATGGAACTCTGTTTAAGCTCACTTCTGTCTGCATGCATTACAGTGTGAGATGTTGTTATCAGTCACAAGTCGTGTCTGTGATTTTGGTTCTATTGTCACTAATCAGTTCATGACTATTGTTACCAATCAGTTCATTTGATCAATAATCAATTCATGGACATTAATCTGTTTATTCTGTTCAGCCATGAACCAGTTTGTTTATGCCCCCCCCCCCCCCCTCTTTTCAACTTCTTCTTCTCGTTGAAAGTTTTCCGGGGCATTCATGCTTTGTCAGAACGCATAGTTACTCAACATGCGTCTGTGCATGGCACATAATTACGCGATGCGTAGTTATGCACACGGGGAGCTGAGTGACAAGACGTTTTTTGGGCAAGCTTCCGCTTCTTACTGTGTTCGAATGGACCCAGTGAGGCGAGGACCACATCGGCTTCGCCCTTTACCCACTAAAGCGAAGGCCTTAAAGGGCGAAGCTTATACGACATAGAACGTTGGTTACGTACTGTAACCCCAGATTCTATGAGTATAAGCGTAGCCCTTTAAGCGTCGGGCCTCACTGGCTCTTAAATGGCTGAAGAAAAAGCTATTTTGGGAGCCGATTTCCCGCTCTTAACGTAATTTATACGGACCGGGTGGGGCCCACACAGCAGGTGGGCGTGGACTAATTTTTTTCAGTGCTTATGCTCTGCATAACGGGATAAACCCACTAAAGCGAAGGCCTTAAAGGGCTACGCTTATACTCATAGAATCTGGGGTTACAGTACGTAACCAACGTTTTTTTTATATCTAAGAATATTGGGGGCCTGATGGAGATTGTCCAAGGGCCACTTTTGGCCCTCGGGCCTTAAGTTGCCCACATCTGGTTCAGAAGGCTAAACTACAAATAAATTACTTTGGTGTAACCAATCATGTCTGAGGATTAATGAAAGATTGCACAAACTGAAAATTGCACAAATCAACGTAATCATCATCTGACCTTTGGTGTTTCTGTTGGCTCTAAAACAGAAACTGTTTGCACACACGTGAACGTTCTGAATTACAATTTAAAACTTCAACATATTTATGATGTACTGCAAATGTTTTGAAGTTACATAATTGTACAAGAATTAACTGGCTTGTAGAATTAAAATGAACAGTTGTGTTGACCTCCTTCCTGCACAGCGGCATCTACTGAACTGTGTACGACAAGTTGTTGAAAAACTATTAGTTTTTTAAACAACAGATTATTTTAAAGCAGAACCCTAATTCCTGGCCAAGTCATGAACTTTCGTGACTTTTTTAATCACAGAATATACAATTTTAGTTGTTTTTTTTTGTGGGAATCTGGGAACCTTGAGCTGAAATGTTTCGAGGTCTTTGTTTCTTGCTGTGCAAACAGATTTTAGTGTTGAACAAAAAGAACAAGGTTAGCATGAGTAAAATAAATAAATTATTTAATAATAAAAAAAAAAGATCTGCTGTTTTTAGTTCATGGAACAATAACTTTGCTACATGAAATCAAACAGGTGATCTTTGTAATCAGTGATTCAGTTTAATGTTGTTTCCAGAACTTGGTGCCTGGCTCCTTTTAGGACAGAGTACTTAAGATCAGATTATAATAATAATAATGTCATCACAAAGTCAGCACTGTATGTTTCCAAACAATGGCGAAATTAGTCTCTGCATTTAACCCATCCACCACCAGGTGGTGCAGTGGGCAGCTATTGAAAGCGCCCGGGGGGCATTTTGGGGGTGAGGCGTGCTGCCCAGAGACACCACGTGATGTGCAGTGACTGGGGATCAAACCTGGGACTATCACACCCTATTCATGATAGCACTTTTCCAGGGTTTTTAATCAGACATTGTTAACAACTATAAGTCTGCATGTCTGGAATGTATAATTTCCAAACTACTTTCTTATCCATTTAATACATTCATTTAAGTTTATATGAAAGTAGGCAAAAGCCAGGACAGCTGAAACTAAAGAGGAGAATTAAAAAGCCCAACTATGACGTTGATTTTAAATTCTACAGCTTCTTCAAATATACTGAAGTATGACTACAGCAAACAGAATGATCCAACATGACCGCCACACACTCTTACTTTTTGAGAGAGATGCAGTAAATGGAGAGTTGCTCCACAGCTGCCGAGCTGACACCCATATCTGTGATCATGGACTCCACTTCTGCTCTCTGGCCCTGCAACAACACGTCCAGGCTGGAAACAAAACAGGATAAAAAAAAAATCAGTGCAAAAAGTGCATAAGTACACACTTGAAAACTTTCATATTAATTAAAAAAGTTTATTTTGTGTATCCACTAAATTTGAAAGAAACAATTTTTTTAAAAAAGATCTTAATTAGAAGCATAATCAAGTGGCCTGCAGATACCCAGTACCTTTCAAAGGTTTTCATTTTGACCTTCAGTCTGCGGACCTCCTCTTTCACAGTCTGAACTTCATCCTGTTGTGTTTCCAAATACGTCATCTGTTTCTGTGACACATAAACAAACATTTATTTCCAGCTGCACAAAGAATCTGTGGAGACAATAGTCTAAAACTCTCATATGAATGCTCACTCTGAGAGCAGCACACAGCATCTCTTTCTCCAGGATCTCTTTTCGCGTACTGTCCAGGTCTCTTCTCTGCTTGTCCACAGTGTCCTTCAAACTGTCCATCACCTTCTGTTTGTCTCGCCAGTCTCGTTCTAGAAGTTAATGGAACAAGTGATCAACTGGAAATACTTCTGACTTCCACTCAGCGACAGAACGTCCCACAGCACGATCCGGTTTCTCACCTTTGCAGCTTAGAAGTGCTTTCATCCGATCAAGCTCATTCTGGAAGGGAAATAAAAATTGATCACGGTAACAAACCAAATGTGGAACCTGCTAGAAGTTATTGTAAGGGTTACAAATGTTACAGCATCCTCATAAACTTTACTGTAGGTGTGGTACCTGTAAGCTCTCAGGGTCGGCTGTGCTCTCCTCCTCTACACCCACGTCAAAGAACAGCTTGCTGATAATGTGCCTGGTGCTGACCTGTTCATGTAGCACAAATAACTCGGGTTTATTTGTAATTCTCTGCGGACACTTGGCTCAGTGTTTGTTTTGCAGCTGTACCTGTTTCCTACACTGTGGACAGGTCTTTGTTGGGGCCGTCTGGAACCACTGAAGGAGACTGAAAGAAATGAGAAAACTATTATTCAAACTGAATAAAAAGTCGGTATGAACTCAAACAAATTGCTGTTAAAACAGTAACATTTTATGAACTTACCATTCATAGTGAAACGTGTGTCCGCAGTGAATGGCAGCGACGTCTTTGCAGTGATCAAAAAAATCCGAACAAATTGTGCAATAAGCACGGATAGGCATTTTATGTTCAACCTGTTACAAAGAAACCAAACAGTTGTGAGAAAGAACATGTTCCTCATTAACAGCATATATGATAAATTATACAATCGTACCAGTCCTGTTTCATAACACGATAGCTATGTAGCTAACCTAGCTAAACATTTGTCTTAATACTTACCAATCGTAGATGCTATGGCTAAGCCATTCGTAGTAACATTAAACACTCCTGATGTTACTTGTATCGCTTTATTTTAAAACGTATTTAGAAGAAAGCGCCTAGTTAGCTTAGTTAAAAGAGGTACAACGCTAACTCCATCTGCTTCCCCGCTGGACATTCAAACACAAGCTCCGCCCCTAGACGATGCGTTCAAATACTTACATCCCATTTTAGTTATATACAGTTAACAAATCATAATTAAAAAACAAGTTTCCCTGATCATTTTTAAGTGTTACTCTTAAAATAACAAAACGATCGCTAAAAAGTAAAATAAAAAACAAACAAACCTGTCAAGACTTTGTAAATGTCTTGAATTATTAGACTTTTTCTGTTTACAAATATCAAAACAATACTTCCAACATATCGCTTGACTGTATGTGTCAGCCGTGTTTTCCCAAAGATTAGATAAATATTTAAGTCTACGTATAGCTGTGTGCAGCCGTTGGATTGGGCCACAGCTTATGTGAGTTTATTCTGCATCAAACCTTTCCTTCTAGGTTTGATTACGAAGATAAATGTGATGTTCGAGGTTAATTGAATGCATCATTCCAAACACGTGACGCGAAATATTATGTTGTTATTTAAAAAAAAAAAAAATGTTTAAGCAATAGTCCAGATTTCAAATAATAATTATCGTTAATATTTACCTGTTTAGCTTTGGAGGTTTTGAAACATTGATTGGGGCTAATTTTTTAAAATTAAATTTTACATTTGGGAGACGAACTTCATATCCCACAATTCCTTTCTCCGGAATCTAAGAGGGCACGTTCCAAACCAGAAGAAGAAGTACTTCGGTTTGATTTAGCTAGCTGTTTCAGTTGTTTCAGACGAGTGGTGGAGTACATTTATCAAATACAGATGTCGTGGAAATGAAAGGTAAAAATATTGGAATTAGTTTCATTTGTTATGAAGAGGTTTTGGCGGAATTAGGATAGCTAAACGAACCAGTTACTCATAAATCTCAGCGTTAGCCTCACACATTCATGGTAGGCTGCAAAAGTCAGTTATGGAAATAACTTGGTCTCGAAGTTCTGCTAACATGATTAGTCTCTGTGAGGTTTGAGTAAATAAAGGATGTGAGGAAATGTAGTACCATAGGACCATTGTTTTAGTTCTCTAGTTTCAAAATACACTTTTTTTTTGCCTGATTTATAGAAACCAGTGTCAGCCACGAAGTTGGTGACCTTTGTTCCCAGTCAGTCTGTCTGTCCTGCCAGGTGTGTGTCCCTGCTACAAGCAGCAGTGATGGAGGAAGAAACGCCCCGGCCGGCGGTGTCTTGGCAAAACGGAAGCCTTGCTCCTGTGGATCGGCTCCGCTCGGACAGGGCGGACAGCCCCACACCTGGTCTGGTGGAGGGAACTGAACCAGGTGAGCTCAGCTGGACCTTCTCTCGGGTTCTTATGTTTGTAACATGAGAGGTCAGATAAAATACTCCAACTTTAACTGTGCATGACTAAATATGCACATTAAATTATAGTGCATCTTTCAAGCATAGCACAGTGATTACCTTGTGTTTGCACAAAAGTACATGTACATGCATGTGCCATACAGTCAGAGCTGGTCGCCTTCATTCATCATATTCCAGTCCTCTGGGTGTTTCTGGTTTGGATTTGACCCAAAATAAATAATCCAGATTGTTTACATTTCAGTACCAACAGCATACCACAAAATGATTATTAACACATCAATCTAAAATATCTATATCCTAATGTATTTAGAAAATTAACTTGTCTGTGACTTTCCTCCATCTAACAAAAACAAATTGCTTTTAAGTAAAACTTCAATTTGATCATTTGCTGTTGTTTTTAGTTGACACACACACAAGGAAAATTAGATTTACGTACCGTATTTATTTGCCTTTCAGCAGCAGAGAATAAGGCAGCAGGGATTTTTCATATTTATGTTTGTCCGTTATTAAAACATCTCATGAACCTAACCAAACTTGCAAAATTTAATCATAAGATGCTCTTCTTGAACACATTAACCTTTGGTGCTAACTCAATTCAAGATGGCTGCCACAAGTAGCTGACCTTAAACAATACAAAAATAGCTTTTACTCCATCAAATTTATTGACATTGGCCTAAAATTTGGTGTGGCAGTAGATGAGAGTGATCCCCAACACATATGAGTTCTACCAAATTTTGCGGGGGGCTGTGGTATCTTAGAGGGCAGTGCCGTGGTCTTGTAATCCTGAGGCTGCGGGTTCGAGCCCAGGATGTGTCAGGAATGGCATCCGGCGTAAAAAAATTGCCAAGTCTTTCCTGCGAGTTTGCACGCTGTGGGAACCCCTGAAAAAGGGAGCAGCTGAAAGAAACTTACCAAATCTTGCAAGATCACTTTTAGAATTTTGCCATTTACTATTTTCAGTCAGCTCTTTCTGTCCGTTAGCAAAATATCTCATGAATAATTAAAACAGATTTTAATGAATTATTCAGGAAAAAAAATATTGGATGAACATTTAGGACTGATTAACGTTTCAAGTCAGTCCACGTCAAGATGGCTGCCACAGCTAATTGACATAGCCTATGCAAAAATTGATATAACTCTGTCAATTTAAAGCTAAATATTGGTTCGGTATTAGCTGGGAGTCATCTACATCAAATACCCGTCGCACCAGATCTTTGCTAAAACCATGCGTCGCTCTTGTCTGCTTTTGCAAAATATCTCATAAACCGCTGAACAGGTTAGATTGAAACTTTCAGAAAGTAATCACTATGTGTGTATCTGTTATAGATTAACTTTTAGAGTAATTTGCAAGACGAGCTCAGTTTAAAACTGGCATGAAAGGCAGCAAGTGATATGCATTCCTTCAGGGAAAGCTCGGCATTTATTGGATTGAATAGGCCATTTAGAAAAAAATGTTCTCCAGTTAGTCTTGCAAAAACCATACAGCATTTTCAGGTTGGTTTAAACAGAGTGTTTCATTTGTTGTGAAAAATCATGACTGTGCACATCCTGTGCTTGTAAAGAAATGCAGAACTTTACACTTCGGCTGTTTTCACACATGAATCCAGGAAAAGGTGCAGAGATGGTGCTTTGAATTTGTCTGCATGCGGTATGAGACGACATGTTCAACTGGAACTTTGATTTCCACTCCGTTTTGTCCGAAATTTCACTAATATAATTATAAATGTATATTATGGACCACCTGAAGACACAATTCATCATGTGTTCTGTAGAAACAAAACAAAAATCAGATTGTTGGTTAGTCTCATTGACATTAATAAAAATGAACAACATCTCACTTCCTGTGTTCAAATTTGAAGCCACAATGTCCGACTTTCTTGGGCGCTGCCATGTTTTATTTCCTACACACCCTCCCAACTTGCTAACAAGCTATTAATCACAGTGTAACATTACATTTCTTTTAAACTTAAAATAACTGCACTTAAATATACTGGGGAAAAAAACCCAAGCATACTGAAACAAATGGCAGCAAGGTGAGAACTCCTCATATCATCAAAATTCAAGAACTGAAAAAATGATCTGAAGTGTACTTCTGTTTTTTTTTTTTAAATCAAGGAAATGCCCCATTTGTTTTTTAAAAGATGCAGCACATAGAAACTGTATTTCCACCAGCCACTAGGAAACATTTGTCTTTAGTGTTTTCAACGTTCAGCTTCCTGTCTTCTCTAGTTATAATGCATCTCCACGGTTAGTCTTAAGTGTTGCATAACAGTCTGTTTGAATAAAGCCAACACTAAGAGGAGTAATATGTAACACTGTTGTAACAGGTTGTTGCCAACCATTAACGCCGAAGTTTTGAACACTGTGCTCAGAATTTGTGTTGGTGATGTTACAAATCAGCTACTGCACCAGATTTTAGCTTAATATCTGTAAAATTGTCTGAACACGCTATGTTTGATGGGTTAAGTCCAAAAGTTAATCAGTTTTATATATAAACCTTAAGATTACTCTCTGAAAGATAAAATTTGTCAAGTGGTTCTTGTGATATTTTGCTAACAGTACAGACGTACACATACAGCAATGCACACAGACAAGATTATTGCCTTTCACTTTTGTCAGTAAGCAGTAACTCAATAAGGCTCATTACGTCACAATGAACATTTGTATCTGCAGTTTTTAAACATGTGTCCTTGTACTTGATTGCAGGTGCGGGACAGAAGAGTGCCATGTTTGTTCATACACAGTCCTTTGAAGATCTGTGTGTTGAAGCTGAGGACGAGGCCCAGAAGGTGGCTAAACAGGACCACTCAGAGGGACGTCAAGCAGAGGAGTTCAAGACGCTGGTTGAAGAGCAAACCTCAGAGAAGCAGCACAGCAAGGATTTTTCATCGGAGAGCAGGACCAAAGAGGAGGAGGATGTATCCAGTGAGGCGTGGCGCAGTCACAGGAAGCACGTGTTTGTGCTAAGCAAGGCTGGAAAGCCCATCTACACACGCTACGGCACGGAGGAGGCTCTGTCCAGCACCATGGGGGTAATGATGGCTCTGGTTTCCTTCGTCGAGGCTGAGAAGAACATTATCCGCTCCATTCACACAGGTCAGATGGTAACATTGTTCACAAGTTAAAGCTATATCAGGTCCAACAAGTTCTGAAATAGTTTGGACCTTATGTAAAGTGTAAACATAAACTGAATGCAATGATTTGCAAATCTAATTAACCCAAATTTAATTCACAGTGGATCATAGTCATGTTTAAACTAAGAAACTACAATTTTTAGACAAAAAGAGAGGTAATTTAAAAATGGATAAATAACAGTCTCAAACAAGATGGGACAGGCCTGGGTTTACCACAGTGAAGCATCTCCTACTTTTTACTAACACTCTGTAAACATCTAGGAACTGAGGAGACCAGTTGTTGAAGCTTTTGGAGGGAATCTGCTCCCCTTCTTGTCTGATGGAGGATTCTAGCTGTTCAACAGTTCTCGGTCATCTTTGCTGGATTTTTCAGTTCATTATGCACCTAATGTTTCAGTTGGTGAGACAACTGGACTGCATGCAGGTTGATTCAGCCCTGGTACTTTTCTGCTATGAAGCCAAACTTCCATAATCAATACAGTTTGAGGTTTACATGCAAGACCTTCCCTGAAATAGACAGCGTCTCTAGATGGAAGCATATGCTTTCCCTAAACCTTGATAAACTTTTCTGCATTGATGGTGTCTTTCCAGATATGGAGAGATGAGGTATTAATACAACCCCCATACCATCAGAGAGGCAGGATTTAAAACTGCTGATAACAGTCCTGATGGTTCCTCTTGAGTACGGAGGATGTGGCATCCATGGTTTCCAAAAATAATTTCAAATTTTGCTTTGTCTGATCACAGACAAAGTCTCAGTTCATTTAAAAAAAGTTCTTTGGTCCAAAGAAGACGGCAGTGTTTCCAGTAAATGGCTTCTCTTGTACATGGTAGAGTTTTAAGCAGTATTTGATCCAAAGATCAAACCACTGCTGACTTTTAGTCTTATCTTTTGAGCACTCAGGTTTCTACAGTTTCTTAAAAAAAAACTTTTGAAGCTCTTTTGGACTGTAGGTGGCATATTCAAAGTCCAATCATTATCTTTACCCGCTGCTTTCTTTCTGGGTCGTGAGGGTCACTGGTGCCCATGTCCATCACTGTGTGAGAGGCAGGGGACACCCTGGACAGGTCTCCAGTCCATCACAGGGACACATGGCGACAAACGAGACAAACAACCATTCACTCTCTCACTCACACCTTGAGACAATTTAGAGTTACCAGTCAGTCTTCTAACATGTATGTTTTTGGTCTGTGGGAGGAAACTGGAGTACCCGGAGAAAACACACGCATGCACGGAGAGAACATGCAAACTCCACCCAGTAAGGCCCCCGGCCGGGGTTTGAACCGGGGACCTACTTGCTGAGAGGCAGCAGCTCTACCAACTGCGCCACCCGCCCTATTCACAGTCCATTCAGAAATATCAATTGAAAGTTGTTTCAGTATTTTCAGACAGTTATATTTTTTAAACTGGTAAACTTCTGCTCATTTTTATCTGAACTTCAGCCTCTAAAATATTCTGTTTATACTCTCCCTGTTGCCAGTTAACTGAATTAGTTGCAAATTGGTGGCAAGGTGGATCAGTGGTTAGAGCCGAGAGTCTGCAGTTCTTCTCTTGGACTGGGGCCTTTCTGAGTGGATTTAACATGTTCTTGTACACGTGTTTTCTCTAGGTACTCCCGCTTCCTCCTACAGATCAAAAACTTGTGTTAGGTGAATTGGTGACTCTGAATTTATTAATTCTTCAGTTATTATTATTAGTGTAGTGATACACGTGAGGTACGTGTCACTTGTTGTATGACACAATATATGAATTATATATGCATACAATATTCACGAGTTCTTCATTTTTCTGACTGTAAATGCCGTGCATTGAATTTAACAGAAATGTGAACGAGAGACGTTATTTATCTTTGACCCATCAAATGAATGGAATCATTTATTTTCAAAATCAAAGTTTAACATCAAACATTTACATTAATTTGGCAAAATATGAAAATAATAACAGACAGTTTCACAGAAAATGAACTTCAAATCACTCGGCGGTGATTTGAGGACTTTGCTTCAGACATTTCTAAAAATATCTGTACTGTTTTATGAGAGAGAGGTGAGTTTAAGAGTAAATTGAGATTTATCTTACAGAGGAATTGTGTGAGGGAATTTAATCTGTTTGACCAGAAGTTGCACGCTCCGTCAGATCTCCAGCCTGTCCACGGTACACTTTAGTCGAAGAAGAGGCCGTTACCTGGTTGATGATAGATCAGCTCAGTAGGAATCCTTTTCAACTGATATCAGCGTCTCCGTTGAAAACAGCTAAAATCCTCGAAGAGTCGTGCGTGGTTAGTTCAAAACAGAATTATAATCCCAAAACCTCTGGATTCTTCATTGCTCTGAAACTTTCAGAACCGGCTGCACTCTCAATCTGCTCATTCTGTTGGACTATCGGACCTGTTGTCAGCTCTCAATCCAACATCTCTCAGAACTCTCAATCTAACTTGAACTGGGGAGTTGCCACATTTTATTTGGGTCGACTTCCTGTTCAATTTAGAGCTTTCTGATTCGTGGAAGGACCAGAAAGAGGAGTGGTTTTTGACGTAAGGTGTTTATCAACAGTCGAGGTCAGAGAATGAAACTTGTTTAACATACAGAAAAGATTATTGCAGAAGCAGCAGACTTTTTGGAGTCTACTCTTAGTAATCTTCTGAAAAAGTTTAAACATGACATTTCTTCTTCAGTAAACATTTTAGTTGACCGAAGACCAACCTTTCACATACTTACGACAGCTTGCTCATTTCAGACAGAAAAATCAAGAAAGGCATATTCAGGTGATTTCTGCTTTGAATGAGGAACAAAAATCATTACTTACTGTTTATGTAAAATAAAAATTAGTAGTTCTTTTCAACCTGTAAAGCATTGAGTGAACTAACACAATTTGATTATCAAAACATTTGTAAGACAGTAATGATTATAAAGAATTGTCTTTTCTGCTTGATTAATTCAAGAAAGAAAGTCATCAGATGGTTCAGACTTATTCAGATCAATGAAAATAACAGTCTCTGTCCATCTGGTAGATTTGAGGTTATCTGGTTCACTACAGTCCCCCCTTTGGAAATCATCACCTGTCCATGGGGATGAATTCCAACCGTGAACTTAGACCTTCAAATGTCCTTGAGCTTGATGTAATCCAGCAAGGAAGACCAAAGTCAGAAGTAATCCTTCAAGGAAGACTAAAGTCAGAAGTAATCCAGCAAGGAAACAAAGTCAAGGTAATTCCACAATGTTCTTGGTATTCCATTGTGTTGATTATAATCCCATATCGTCTCGATAATCCCATTGTAGCAATGCCTTAACCCCTTGGAAACAGAGTCTGTAATCCATTGGAAAAAGTCATATAATCCACAACGGTAAATCCACAGCGATTGGAAGTGTTGATTAATCAGCATACAGAGGGGTACCCTTGGATTGAACTGAAGAGGCGGCCACTGGATGAAGAGTTGAGACCAACGTCAGGATTGCAGGTCGCCTCCAGCGAAGGTTGTCTCCAGCGACGTCCAGCCTGTGCCGTTCTGGTTCAATGTGTCATGCAATTATGTGGTTTAAGGTGGGCTTATGAAGGGGATTTTACATAAGGCCTCAAACTATATGCATCTGGTGTGTAAGCTATTATGGTTGGGAACAGCTACATCTACCAGTTAAGGGGTGGAGAATGCTGAAAAGGGGTACTACAGGGGTTTATGCCTATAGAAAAGTGTTCCAAACTATTTTTCCATTTCTAACTTGGTTTAAGTTAGCTTTACATGGTAAAATATAGTTTGGTGTAATTGTCTGTTGTCTTTTAGACGAACGACTTGAGATTGGGTGTTTGGTTTTCCCATAAATGTTTTGGAAGTCTATGGCGAGACTTATCAAAAAGAATTAGCTATCCCCCCGAATAGAATTGTTCGAGTAGGTTCGGCTTAAGCGTTGTGAGATCAATGTAGATTATGGTACTCAAAGTAGCAATAATATACATTGACTCCGCAAAGATTGCAATTTAGTGAATGAACTGCATGTTGGCATGGTTAAAGGCTTCTTAGTCTCTAACTTAACTACACACAAGATTCATTCTTACCTCAGAAACAACCAAAATCAACTAAACAACGTTCCAACACCGACAAGAGTAGTGACTAAGCATCTAGAAACATCGTTTCACAGCTTCTCCTCACCCTGGTTGCCAGATTTCAGTCACGCTGTCCCGTTTTATCAAGGGTAGGTCCTGTGAGTTTAAACTATGGTTAATTTTATTATCCATTAGTTATCTACTGCTTGGATGACCCTTGTTCCCACGAGGTCAGATTTTGTGATGTCTTTGTCTCCTAAGGAGTTATTGCACGCCTTGTGTAATTTAACCTGGTTACGGTGTACCCATTTAACAGTTGGCTCTTTTTGGCCTTTACTGATTTTTATCTGGTAGATAATTGGAGACACTTTGTCGGTTATTGGATGGGGTCCAGTCCATCTGGGCATCAGCTTACGGGCGAGAGTTCCGGTCCCGGACTCTACTCTCCCAGTTTTGGGTGCAAACGTGTAGTACCAGACCCTGTCTCCCACTTGGAGTTCCTCGTAAGAGGCCTTTTGGTCGTAGTACGCTTTGCGTCCTTCAGCTGATTTTTCCAGGTTTTTCTGTGCGAAAGCAAAAGTGTTCTTAAGATGTCTTTCCAAGTCTTTCATGTATTGTTGTGTGGTGTAGGCTGTTGCCATGGCAGCATCGCCTGGTTGGTACAACAGGTGTAGAGGGAGAGTCATTTGTCGACCCGTCATCATCTCGAAAGGAGCGATGCCAGTTGACGTGTGTGGAGTGGCCCTTATGGCCATGAGGACCAGAGGGAGTTTCACGTCCCAGTCCTTGTGGTTTGCGGCTACGTATTTTTTCAAAATACTCACCACAGTCCTGTTTGCTCTCTCAACCTGGCCTGAAGCCTGTGGTGGTAGCCAATATGGAAGTTGGCTTTGACGCCTAGCGTCTTCCACAGTTCCTTCATTACTTCACCTGTGAAGTGTGTACCTTGGTCCGAGTTCACCCTAAGGGGAAGTCCAAACCTTGAAAATACATGATTCATTAACAACATAGCAGTGGTTTGTGCTGTGTCATTAGGGGCTGGTAGACATTCTACCCATTTGGTAAACGCGCAGGTTACCGTGAGAAAATATTTATTTCCTCTAGAGGTCTTAGTGAGTGGTCCGACCCAGTCAATCTGGAGGTCCGACCATGGAAATGCAATGCCTCTACTATGCAGTGGTGCTCTGTGAAGTGGTCTGGATGGTTGAAACTGGCCACAGATCAGGCACCCTTTTATGTAGTCCTTGACATCCTTTTTCATTCCAGGCCAATAAGCAATTTGTTTTAATGCTTTCAGCGTGGCATTGTCACCCTTATGTCCTGCGGACGGAAGGTCATGTGCATGGACTAACATCACCCCCCTGTGATCATGGGGGACCACGAACACAGGTGAGGACGTCCGTCCATGAGCGAAAGTTAGGATGCCCTTAAGTAGTTTTAGCTGTTTTCGCAGCTGAAAGAGGACTTTGAGGTCTGGATTGGAATCCAGCTCGTCTTTCGATGGAGTGTATTTGTCTGGGTCAGTCAGATACAGCATCATCGAGTTAATTGCAGGAGCCAACTTCTGAA